CATTAATCTCCCCAAACTCTATGCAGTAAGTGTTATGTTCATGATTTGATACAAGATAAAGTAATGCCAAAAGAGAACAAATAACCCACCCAAGGCCATACCACTGTTTCGTATCAAAGCCAGAACTGGTACTTGTTAATACTCTGAAGCACTGCTGTATGTACAGTTGACCCTTGAACAACATGGTGAGTAGGCGTGTTAATCCCTTGCATAGTCAAAAATCCACATATCACTTCTGATTTTTCCAAAACTTAACTATTTTTTTTTGAGTTGGAGTCTCACTCTTGTCGCCCAGGCTGGAGTGCAGTGGCATGCTCACGACCGCTGCAGCCTTGACCTGCTGGACTCCGGCAATCCTTCAGCCTCAGCCTTCCAAGTAGACAGAACTACAGACGCACACCACCATGCCTGGATAGTTTCTGTGACTTATTGTAGAGACGAGGTCTCACCAAGCTGCCCAGGCTGGTCTCGAACCCCCAGGTTCAGGCAATCCTCTCGCCTCGACCTCCCAAAGTGCTGGGTTTACAGGCTGAGCCACTGTGGCTGGCCCAAAACTTAACTTAACTTAAGTAATACTATCGTGTTAGCCTACTGTTGACCAGAAGTCTTACTGATAATGTAAGCCATATTTTTTTCGTATGTTATACACATTACATATTGTATTCATATAATATTCTAGAGAAAAGAAAATGTTAATTGAAAGGATAGTCAGAGAGTGAGAAATGCATTTTTTTTTACACTCTTCTTCCTAAACCTTAATACAATGATGAGAAAGTAGAAGCTATACTTTTGAAGAAATGCACATTTTAGGTAAAATTAACTTTGCCGACTTTGTCTTTTCAGAGACAGACTTCCTGGTGCCGAGTATCAGGGGTATCTCATAGTGGCAATCAAGCTTGCCTAGAGTAAAGGGAATTTACAAGGCCTAAGATATCATGCATTGGGCAAGGATTGTAAAAGTGGTGAAACTTGTAATTACAAAAGTTATGACTGCTCAGAGGGAGAGCAGGTGGGAATTTGATCTTCCAGAAAATCGGATACTATCTACAGGGAAACCAAGAATCCCCTGAAGCTACCTACCGGGAATGCGTAGGGGAGAAAGGGAAGTGCACACTCCATTAGCTCTAAGGAAGGTCATTCGGGAAGGTGCAGGAGTATTAGAATCCTTGTCATTCCCTTCTCTAGGGGCTATGATAATGTGGGTGGACATTAGTGGATTTCTGTGTCCCAGGATCTCCAAGACATTCACAGGTGGTTGATAAGGTCTACCTGATTGCAACATCTCCAAGGAAAAGGATTGAAGCCAGGACTCGGGGGGCTATGATGCCACACTCACCTAGAATGTAGACCCACTCCCTGTCTGTGGGGGTGAACTTTTCCTAAATAAATCGTATCGTCTCTCACCTCTTTGTGTGTTGCAATTCTTTGCATTGCTCGGATCTCTGGGTTGCCAGTGCGCACCTCCAGCTTGCTGGCTTCGGTGTTGCTGCACCTCCCTGCGTCTCTCCCTCTCCATCCATCCACCCTCCCCTATCTGTGCCCTAACATTAATAAGAAAATCATAAAAAAGAAAAAATATATTTGCTGTTATATTAAGTGGTAGTGGATCATCATAAAGGTCTTGATCTTCAACATTTTCATATTGAAAAGGCTGAGGAGAGGATAAGAAGGGGTTGGTCTCAAGGGTAGCAGAGGCCAAAGGAATAGGGAGGTGGTGGAAGGGGGGCAGGAGGGGCAGACACATTTAGTGTCACTTTTATTGATAAAATGTGCTTATCAGTGGACCAACAGTTCCAACCGGTGTGGCTCAAGGGTCAACGGTATACACGTTTCCTTGACCCTTAGCTAATATCAAGTTCAAGGATGAGAGAGATACGAGACCATCCTCAGAATGCTCACTGTGGAGTCTGGGGACGTTGATGCCCCCTCCTACGATTAAGCCTAGTGGATGCACTCAGGGAATGGGCAAATTGGAGTTTCTAGTTAACTAAGGATTATGAAGAAAATTTCTTCTTTAAGCCTCACAATGAACAGGACTTAATTAAATCTCAGACCCCTGAGAAGCTGGCAGTATTTCAGTCTAATACTGCGGCTATTCATTGAGCACCTGTGGATACACCGAGATGCTTCAGTTCTGAATCACAAAGTTGGCTCAGCATGTCTAGCAATGTGACAAGTGTAGGCGTGAGATCTCCAACAAGGCAATCAAAAAAAATTCAACTTTTGATGGGACCAGATGTTAGAATGGCACCTCTTCTTGCTTGCCGAGTTTTGAAAGAGGGAGTCATTTCCTGATCATGAATTTCACTTTCTCTCTTCACATCGACTGCATCTCCCCTCTTTTTAAGGAGTCATAGAAATGAAAACAAGATCCTCCAATTAATATATGAAAGTTTTTAATGCTTTTTTTTAAAACATAAGAACAACTAAAAACACAGGTCATGCATCATTATTTTCCTTAAAAATGTCCAGTGTCTCCTTATTCTCTACAAGGGGAAATTAAGTTCCAAAACCCTAGCTTGACAGACAAGGCATTACATTGCACGTTGCATATTAAGGGCACACTTTGCCACGCAAAGCTACTTGGGACCATCTTCCCGAGTAACTTTGATTTACCTTCTCAGTTGGACGAAGTCACATATACACAAGAGTTTTTTGAGTCCTTTACAAGATGTGAAGTTATAAGCCCTTAGAACATTTTCCCCATGACCTACGCATCTAGCCTGAACTCCTTTTATTAGCTGTGGAGCGTCTGGGGAGCATCCACACCCTGTAAATAGGATAAGCTTCACAATTCAAGTCCCCAGAGTTCAAGATAAGCACTTGTTTAATTAACCTTTATCTGCTGATTGGAGCTGATGAAGCGCTGAACAGCCAGCCTCTATTACTTCACTAACAGATTGGACCCAGCCAATCAGTGTACTGCTTCATTCTGACTTCTTTCCAGATTCTTCCTATCTTGAGGAACTGCAATACTTATATTTAAGTGACATTGACTTGTACTCTACATATCTGTTAAGACCGGGGTACTCTATAGTTGCAGGACAAATGTATTGGTGACATGAATTAGCACTTTTACACATTGGTACAGCCTTCCAGCTTTTCGTAGTCATGACCACTTGTGGCTGTAAAAAAAATTTTTGTTTTAAAATATGTGGAGTACAATTCAGGATTAGGTACATAAGTAGTCATCAGACAGGTGACATTTGGGCCTCTCTTTGGTCCCCACTTCACCTGGCTTGAGATCAGGTACCTTTGTTGATGATAGATGATCCCTCTCCCATGGCAGTGTCCTGATACTGCCAATTCCTTTCTTTTTCTTTCTTTTTTTTTTTTTTGAGATGAAGTCTCACTCTGTCGCCCAGACTGGAGTGCAGTGGCATGCTCCCGGCCACCGCAGCCTCGACCCGCTGGGCTCCAGCGATCCTTCTGCCTCAGCCTTCCAGGTAACTGGAACTATAGGCAAGCATCACCACCCTCGGCTAATTTTTTGATTTATTGTAGAGATGAGGTCCCGCCAAGTTGCCCAGGTAGGTCTCAAACCTGCGGGTCAGGTAATCCACTCACCTTGGCCTTCCAAAGCATGGGATTACAGGCTGAGCCACCAAGCCTGGCGCCAATCCCTTTCTTATAGTATCATGATTAATGTTTAGGGTCTGCTTATGAATGAGAACATGTGGTACTTGCTTCTTTGTTTCTGTGATAGATCACTGAGTATGATAGCTTCTAAATCCATCCAAGTTGCTGCAAAGTCCATAATTTTGTGGATTAAAAAAATGTGGTACATAAATATGATGGGGTATTATTACACAGCCATAAAGAAGGACCATTTGTGAGCTTTAAAAATAATCATGGAACATTGATGCCTTTGAGAAAATGTGACGTTTCACAAGAATTTAAACGGCAAGAGAATAAAATCTGTCTCATTTTCTTAGCACAGGAGACATTTTATATTTTGAGAAATGCAAATATAAATGTAAATTTTTCTTGAACATTCAAGTTTTCATTTCAAAAGAAAATAAACTTGTGGTCTTTCTTTTTTGTTGTTGTTTTTGTTTTTTGAGTTGGAGTCTCACTCTGTCACCCACACTGGAGTGCAGTGGCCGCTCCCAGTCACCGCAGCCTTGACCTGCTGGGCTCTGGCTATCCTTCTACCTCAGCCTTCCAAGTAGCTGGAACTACAGGCGCGCACTACCATGCCCGGCTAATTTTTTTTAATTTATTATAGAGATGGGGTCTCGCCAAGTTGCCCAGGCAGGTCTCGAACCCGTGGTTTTGCCATAAAATACTTACATTTCGCGAAATTGGCCACGCCCTTGTTGAAACAGTACTGTTTCGTGCTGTAGCAAATATAATAGAAGTAGAGAAAAAGTAATATCACACAAATAATTTAACACCTAGAAATATATATGAGGAAAGCATTCATAAAACAACTTCAGAATATGTGAAAACTTTAGATACGACTGCAGGAACTTCATGCAGGTGTGAAAAAAAAGCAAAAGAAGTAAGAATTTGGGCCAAACAGGGTTAGTTAAGGGAATCTAAGGATATCTTGAAGACTTCTAAAGGTCCTAAAGGACATAACATTACATAGGAAAAGAGAAACAATATCCTAGACTTTTCTAGAAATACATCCATCTGGCCACGACGTTTTGTACTTCAAAATCCATTATTATTTCATCATCCAGGTGTCTTGAAAAAATGTGATGTTGTTTAGACAAGTTCAGCTCCATTTATTTCACAACTTCATTCTTCTGGTCAAAATGCCAGTACTTCACAGATATAATAAATTATGAGTATGTGCTAATTGGATTAATAAACGCATGAAGTGTGCAGGTGTACACAGTAGAAAAAGAAAACAAAAACAGACCTTCAATAATGAGGCATGAAGAATAAAAAAAGATAAATTTGATAAATATTGTGTCAAATTCTTCAGTCTGGTTAGGAATTTACTTCCAGAAGCCTAAAATGTGAAAGAAAGCTACTTCAATCAAGCAAAAATGTTGTTAAAACTACATAATAGGGGCTGCTTGTGTGCTCGTTTGGTGCGGACCTGGTGCCTCTTTTGTGAAGCGGCTGCTGAGGAGACTCTGGCGCTCGCCACGGCCGATGAAAAGCCCAAGGAAGGGGTCAAGACTGAGAACAACGATCATATTAACTTGAAGGTGGCGGGGCAGGATGGTTCTGTGGTGCAGTTTAAGATTAAGAGGCATACACCACTTAGTAAACTAATGAAAGCCTATTGTGAACAACAGGGTTTGTCAATGAGGCAGACCAGATTCCGATTTGACGGGCGGCCAATCACTGAAACAGACACACCTGTACAATTGGAAATGGAGGATGCAGATACAATTGATGTGTTCCAGCAGCAGACAGGAGGTGTCTACGAAAAAGGGAACCTGCTTCTTTTACTCCAGAACTCTGTTCTTACAGACCAAGATTACATTCTCAATTAGAAAACTGCAATTTGGTTCCACCGCATCCTGACTAGTACAGTATAGTTTTCTTTATTCTTTCATTTTCACCTTCATCCTCTTCACCCTTCCTTTATTGTACATAAAGTAACTGATGTATGTGCACATGCATATTGCAATTTTTTTTTTAACTAAATGGGTAATGGTATGTTTTGATTGATATCAAGTGGAGATGGAATGGGAACAAATACTGGTTCTGCGAAAATACCCCCTTTCTCCATTAGTGGCATGCTCATTCAGCTCTCATCTTTATACTACAGTAAGTTATTTTGCTCTCACTGTTTTAACAAAAAGACAACAACTTAAAAAAATCCTTGAATACCTTGTTCAATTGGAGAATTTTAATGTTTTTCATTTATCATTGTAAAACCAATGACTATTTTATAACTTTTTTGTACGTAGCTGTTACATGTAGGGCAATCTGTCTTTAAGTAGGGATAAATGACTCTTTAAAAAAAAAAGAATCCTAGATAGTTTTCCCTTCAAGTCAAGCATCTTGTTGTTTAAATAAACTTCTTGTTTAAAATGAAAAAAAAACTACATAATATAGAAAAGGATACCTAGAAAAACAAGCAATCCCATCTTTCAAAAAATTGCGAACAATTTTTAGAGCAACAAAATTAATTCAGATGTGCTTTTTAAAAAAATTCTTTATATTTTATTTATTACTTTTTTTTTTTTTTTTTAGTTGGAGTCTCATTCTGTCACACACCACAACCTCGACCTGCAGGGTTCAGGTGATCCTTGCGCCTCAGTATTTCCAGTACAGGTATGTGCCCAGCTTATTTTCTGATGTATTGTAGAGATGAGGTCTCACAAGTTACCTGGGCTGGTCTTGAACCCTTGGGCTCAGGCAATCCTCTCACCTCGGCCTCCCAAAGTGCTGGGATCATAGGCATGAGCCACCGTGCCCGACCTTTAAATGATATGAAAACAAAAGTTGAATACAGTGTTTTAGGCAAATTGGCTATTAGTCAATTTGATCACTAGGTGAATTAATTTCAAGGGAACGTGTTTTATGTTGAATAGATGTGTTACCGCTCCAGACAGGGAGACGAGCATTTGGGAGACTCAGGAGAGAGGTGATGGCCTCAGGGGACAGAAAGGAAACCAGCCCTGCTACAAACCAAAACTATCTGCACCTCCATATCTTTAAAATAAAAAATTAAAAAAAACTAAAACTAACATGTTTGGCTATGGGATTCTGAGACAGAGAGTGGGAAGCGTGTGTGTGTATGTGTGTGTGTGTGTGTGTGTGTGTTTGTGTGTGTGCACATGCATGCACGTGTGTTGGAATCAATTGATAAAGGACTTTGCTAAAAGGGTAAAAATGTGACCGGAGCAACTGAATACACCTTGATCTTTCTCAAGTCAGTCACAGCAGTGTTTGTGGGATGTCACCATAAGGACTTCAAGGGCGTGATTCGGAATCTCCTGTTTCAAGAATGTTTAAGCCACTTTGACCTGAAGAACCATATTTCAGGCTCGGAAGATGCATTTCTGTACTTTCCTCCTTTGTACAGGCTCATTGGTTTTCAAAATGAGCCCCTGGCCTTAATCTTTTTCACTCTTTACCCTCAGAGGGCTTAGGCTTTTCACCGATGAGACAAGTTCCAGATCATAGAAGCACTCTTGCTGCAGACACTTAAAACCTATGTTTTAAGAATGTACAAGGAATGCATGTAATGAAAAATAAGAACATTTAGAGAGATATGAAGAAGAAAGTATAAATATAAATCATCAAACTTCCAGGAATAGTGTTTCAGTTTTCATCCTTCCAATATTTCCTCTTTGTATATATTTAACAAGTATGTAGAGGGAGGACAGCTCAACTCAGTATCTGTATAAACAGAAAACTGTTTAATGAGAACTTGTTGTTAGCAGACCTACTCTAAAAGAATGGCTAAAGAAAGTTCTTGTAACAGAGTGGAAATGAGAAAAGAAGGGGTCTTGGAGCATTGGCAAGAAGAAAGAACAACAAAAAAGAGCAAAAATGTAGGAATAGACTTTCCTTCTCCTCCTAAGTTTTTTAAGTTGACCACTGAAACACAAGGATAACTTTGATGTAATTCTCAATCCAGTAAAGAAAATATTTAAGACAATTCTTTCATAAACAGGACAAAATAAAGAGATGTAAAAAGATATAAGGTTTCTACACTTTGCTTAAACTAGTAAAGTGTCTACACCAATAACTGTGATAAATATCATATATATAATGTAATACCTAGAGTAACTGCTAAAAATCTATACAGAGATGCACTAAAAATACTACAGATAAGTCAAAATGAAATTCTAAAAACATTACAGTCAAAGTGGCAGAAAAAAGAAAAAAAACCTGAGGAAACAAAGAGGAGACAAAACAAAAATAGGTGAAAGAATTGAACAGACATCTTACCAGAGATGTATCAATAGCAAAGAGGCATATGAGAAGATTTTCAACGTCATTTGTCATAAGGAAAACACAAATCAAGATGACAACAGGCACGGCTACACTCCTACCAGAATGGCTAAAATTTTAAAGGAGACTGTACTAAGAGTTGATGAGGAAGTGGAAGAAATGGAACTCTCGTGCACTGCTGGTGGGAATGTAAAATGCTACATCCCCTTTGGACACCACTTTGGGAGCTTCTTAAGATCAATATAAACCTACTATATGACCCAGCAATCCCATTTTAAATTATTTATCCGAGAGAAATAAAAGCATATGTCCAAACAAAGATATGCACATGACAGCTTTATTTGTAACAGCCCAAACCTAAAAATAACCCAACTGTCTTCCCACAGGTGACTGAAGCAAGTTGTGGTATATTCATCCAATGGAATACCACTCAGAAACCAAAAGAAAAAAACTTGATACACAACAACAACAACATGGATGAATCTCAATTATGTTGTGTGAAAGAAGCCAGACCTCCCTCAAAAAAGTATATACTGTGTGATCCCAAAATATATATACAGTTCTAGAAAGTACAAATTAATTTATAGTGATAGAAAGCAAATTAGTGGTTGCAGGGAAAAGGGAGAGCCGGGTGACTGGCACAAGAAAACTTTTGGGAGTGATTGATATACTCATTATTCTGACCAGGGTGATGATTTCATGGGTATACACATATGCAAAAACGTTTCAAATTTTGTAATTTAATAGGTGCAGTTTATTGTATGTCAATTGCACCTCAATACATGTGGTATTAAAAATAATATGATCCCCTTACCATATCATTAAATACTTTTCTATGAAAGTTTTTTTGTTTTTTAATTGGAATCTCACTCTGCCGCCCAGGCTGGAGTAGTGGCCACCCTAGAGTCGATATGCCGGGTTCTGGCAATCCTTCCGCCTCCGCCTTCCAAGTAGCCAGAACTACAGGCGCGCACTACCATGCCCAGCTCATTTTTGATTTGTTGTAGAGATGAGGTCTCGCCAAGTTGCCCAGGTTGGTCTCGAACTTGCAGGCTCAGGCAATCCACTCGTCTTGGCCTTCCGAAGTGCTGGGATTACAGGCTGAGCCACCGAGCCCTGCCTAAAAGGTAAAAATAACGATTTGGCATTCATTATATGGAAGCATTACAGTTTATTTAAGAATTTATCTACAATTGGACTTTTTAATTACACAGATGTTTTAACAATACAGTTGCACACAGAATGCTAAGAGTACTTTTCTCTGTATTTTACAGAAGAGCTTGAATGTACAGACTTTCTTTCAGCGATCACACCACAGCACACCCAAAGCTAGTGCCTAAATGCATGCATTGTAATTTGCTTAGAATTTAAAGGCTTAATGGCAATAATGCGGGGGGGGGGGTACATAAGTTTATTTTACGTAACTGACCAAAACATAAATTCAAGAAATCATAAATAGAATTTAATATGGTGTCACACGCCCCAAAAGATGTGGTGCCCAGTTTGGAGGGGGTCATTGCTATGTCCAAATAATCTCCCATCCGAAACTTCTGCGACTGCAGGCAGGGTCATGGAGCCACCAGTCCCCTTTCGGCCAGACCGATCTCCTTAACTCGGTAGCCAGGTCTTTCACATCAGTGAAAACGGTGGCAGAATTGAAGTGTGTGCCCTTCTTTCTAGCTCCTGGATAGACTTCTTTTCACTAAAGTAGCCAACTCTTTCTCTTTTTTTGGTAATTTTTTTTTTATTATAAAGATGTGGAGTACAATTCAGGGTTAGGTATAAACATTGATTATGCAGGTTCTTTTATTGATGAGGTATGCCCCTCCCTCCCCTAGCAGTTTCCCTCAACTGCCAATCCCACTGTCCCTCCCCTGACAGTTTTCCATTACTACCAAATGCTTTCTTATAGTATTATAATTGTTCAAGGTCCGCTTATGAGTGAGAACATATGGTATTCCGATCTTTGTTTCTGTGATAGATCATTGAGTATGATCGACTCCAAATCCATCCAAGTTGCTGCAAAGTCCATATGTTTGTCCTTCTTTATGGCTGCATAATATTCCACTGTGTATGTGTACCACATTTTTTTGATCCTGTCCAGCTTCAATGGGCAACATGGTTGGTTCCATGTTTTTGCTATTGTGAATAGAGCTGCAACAAACATATGTGTACAGGTATCTTTTTTGTAGAATGATTTGAGTTCCTCCGGGTATATTCACAACAGGGGAATTGCTGGGTCATATGGAAGGTCAACTTTCAGTTCTTTCAGAAATCGCCACACTGTCTTCCAAAGAGGTTGCACTAGTTTGCATTCCCACCAGCAGTGTAGAAGTGTTCCTTTTTCTCCGTATCCTCGCCGGCATCTGTTGTGGTTTGTTTTATTAATGATGGCCATTCTTACTGGGGTTAGGTGGTATCTCGATGTGGTTTTGATTTGCATTTCTCTGATGATGAGTGAGGCTGAGCACTTTTTCATGTGTCTGTTGGCTGCCCGTATAGCTTCTTCTGAGAAGTGTCTATTCATGTCTTTTGCCCACTTTTTAAAGGGGCTTTTTTTTTTCCTTTCGGCGTGTTTGAGTTC